CTCATGACTAGTGGCACCTCGATGTCGGGCTTGTGTATTTATTTCGCACTATTCTTTTAAATTTACTTCATGAGATTATTGATTAATAGATGGTATAAAAATAACTTTTATTGAATAATGGTTGATTCAGGAGTTGTGTCGGCTGGCCTTGTTTCACGATAGACGCCATCACGACCTGGTCGGTTTTGGGTCGTGACAAGTTGGAATGAGAGCCTAAGTAACATAGGTCTTATGAGTCATGAGCAGGTTTAGTAGAATCTCACGGATCGGTACGGAGACATCTGTACTTATCCTTGGGAGGCTGCAGAACCTTTAGGAAAAACTTCACATTCTTGAATTCTTATCGTGCGTCCTTGATTTAGCTTGGAATATAACTCTTTGAATTCCTTCCACGCATTCGTATGCGCGCATGAGCGCTCAGTATCAGATGTGTGTCGATGGCTTGTGATTCCCCGATTAAGGGGCGAGATGTGATTTCTATTCATTGATGTTGGGCCAGTCTGGAGGACTTGAGGCCGGGTTTTGCCTGCAGCTTGAGCACCGAGGTGCTGATTGTGTGAGCACGTATTTTTGAACTTATATATTCGGTAGTGTCCCTATTATTAGAAGTGATGGTTGGATGGCTATGTGATGAGTATGTTATGACTGCGAGATATATTCATTTGATTTGTAAGCGATGAGAAGGGTCTGCTGGAGGATAGAAGAACTATTTGGTGCTTAATTTCCATCTTGATTTGAGATATAGCCCCGAGTTATGGGTGTGTGAAGAATTTTTCATGTTTTCTAGTTGGGAAGTGAAGTAGATCTCACGTTGTGATATGGTTCAGACTCAGGAAGATTAAAAGACTACATGATGTTTATGACGGTGGAAAGGTATGAAGAGATGTTAGTTTGAGGCAAAGCAAGTGGGTTATCTCCTGCAGAGTGTTCTGAAGTTTGTGTGATCCTTATGTTGTTTGTTGGAAGACATCTTTTACCAATGAAATATATGTGTGACAATTTAAATTTGGGGTCGCTTAAGAGAGTGGGCTTGACTGTTACGAGGGTGAACATGAAATGTGTAGAAGGTTTAGAGTACTAGATAGTCTGTGTTTCACAAGCTAAGAAGTGTGGAGTTTAATCTCACTTTGGTATTATGGCAGTAATAGAGTTTATGCGTTATGAGTTATTGTGTGTTTTGATCTATGGCTTTGAGACAAGTGGGTAAGTCTGCTATTGATTAGGTGATTGCACGGTTATGTGGTTTGTTGGTTCCAGTTTGAGGCGTACTGGTGAGTTAGTTATGGCATACAGAGGTTGAGACCAAGGATGGCTCGAGTAAAGGGAATTCCACTAAAGGTTAGGTTATGCTTTATGGGTGTATGAGAATCACAAAATGACTTAAGTTGTTATTGGTAAAGGATGTACGGTGCATGGGATAGGAAGTTGCTTGGTTGCATTAAGGTGAGGTTACATTCTGCGGTGTTGGAGTGTTATTGGAGTACAAGTCGTCCGAACCATTTGATCGGTCTAATTGCGGTTTGAGTAAAGTGGATGACTCTCGAGAATGGTTCTAATGGGTTCAAGATATTACATGTAATAGTTGGAGATTTTCAAGTTGTATATTTAGCTAGATCTGAGGTTTGTATTGGAGGGTGTCAAGACTTATGGTATTTCTATATCAATTATGGGATTCTATATATCAGTATCAGAAGGGGAAGGTAATGGCTTTGGATTCGCAGGAAGTCTCTTCAGGGTAGTTATTTTGAACATGGTGTTTTTGGGGAATATTTAAGAGAGTATTCATTGGCTTATGAGCCTTAGACGGTGTGGTGTTATGCTCGAGTCTCGTGTGGCGAGTCGGGGTCGAGGATTGTGATGGGATAGTAGGAATAAGTATCAATTAAAAGGTAAATTCAGAGGAACTTGTATAGAGGGGATATCTTGGTAGTAGGTCGGATCGACATGGGAAAGGATATGATGAGTTCTTTGGGTTCTTATGAGGTAAAGAGTTCTACAGGTGTTTCGCGACAATCCTCTTGGGTTTTAGTGATCTGTGTAGCTTGGTTGAGTTAGAAGGATTCAGTCCTGACGGTTTAGTTTTGTGCAAATCGAATTCGAAGAGTTCTTGATGGTTTTTGCCACGGTTAGAGATGCACATTTTCTACGAGCGTGAGGAGTATGGGATGCGTAGTGATTTTCTTCTAGATGGGATCAATGGAAAGTTCTTGGCTAGTTGAGTATATAGTTGCTGGTGGAACGGAAGAATTGTTGGAGTATCTCTCGTGGAATGATTGGATATTTGAGGTGTGTCGTATATTCAGACGGGGGAGTTGGGATTGGATATGGTGATTCGCGTGTTGTATGGAGATGGAGACTGGGAGTTCTCATAAACAAGTTATGTTGTGGTTGTGGGTTGCGTGTATCAGCACTGTGTAATGACTATCGGGGTTTGGAGACCCTAGTGGATATTTTGCTACTTGGTATGTTAGATTTTGATGTAATATTGGGTATAGACTGGTGGTCTCTGTGTCGTGTTATTCTGGACCATTCCGCTAAGGCGGCGATGTTGGCTATGCTGGGAATGCCACGGATTTAGTGGCAAGGTTCGACGGATTGTGTTCCTAGTAGGGTGGTGTCATTTTTATTTGAAGACCCAGCGAATGGCTCGGAAGGGTTGTCTTTCTTATTTGGTCTTCGTGATGGATGTCAGTGTAGAGACTCCTATGATTGATTCAGTTCTAGTGATGAGAGACTTTTTCGGATGTGTTTCCTGCTACTGGGCATATTGCCGGACAGGGTTGTTGATTTCGGTATTGATTTGGTGCTGGGAGCCGTATCGTATGGCACCGATGGAGTTAGAGGAGTTGAAGGAGCAACTTCAGGGACTCCCTGGTAAGGGGTTCATTGGTAGACCTATATGGATGTGTGTTCTGCATCGAGACATCTTTGCTGACTTCGAGTTGCTATTGGTGAGGGATGTGTTGATTCAGTTGTTATTGAGCTATTAGTGCTTTGAGGTGATCTATGAGTTACTTTTCTGTGTTGTGAGGCGTTATGATTTGTTGGTTATAGGCACATATGGTGCGGTTCTATTGGGGTTTTATAGTAGAAGTCGAGCGAGAAGAGTACTGGGTATTGCTTGGTGGATGGCATATCGGTTATGTCCTCTCGGGTTTGCGTGGTGTTATGTATTTGCTTTGGTTCTATACATCAAATTGTGCGTGGTTGTCGATTTTGAGCAAAGTGACTTGAGGTGTTTCATGGGGACCAATGTTTGGATAGGGTCGCGCATTGCAGCGAAGTTATATGGAGATATGACCTTTCGGGTTAGATTCATGTGTTCCGTTTCTACGATGTGTGACGGGTTCTCAACATTGTGTTGTGGTGGTATTGGTGAGCTTGTGGTACAACTCTTTCATTTGAGTCATTTTTCATGGTTTGAGCGTCCGGATTGTTGCTTATTGGTGTGCGGATTGCATGAGTTGTGGCTTTAGATTGTATTGATGTTCCATGTCACTAGAGCAGTTGTGTTGTAATTGGATGAGATTGTTGGGATCTATAATGAATACGAATGGACTCGGTTTCAACGTGTTGGAGGGATAATATCGATGTTCGGCTCAGAGATTTGCTATGGTCCTTGCTAAAGGAGAAGTGGCTTCACGAATGGTTGATCTGAGGAGTGGTTATGACTTCATGTGTGTTTCATTTATCATTGGCAGTATACGTGAGTGTTGAAATGAGGCTTTATTTGATAAAAGGCTTATTGTCGAAATTCGAATGTTTTAAGCAACTGCTGTGATTAGAAGTTATCGCTACAAATGTTTGAGTTATGTGGTATGTCATGGAATTGCATCTGAGGTTGCAGGTATGGGTTATTACAACTGGTTCGGGCTTATTCAGAGTATAGATGTGAGATTATGATCTTGTAGATGATTTCAGAAGTGTAAATGTGGTTCTAAGGTTTATGGGCATGGTTGAATTGTGAAATTTAGTTACATTGTGTTGTCGGGCCTATATGAGATAGGGTGATGTGGGATCACCCTCGGGTAGGTGCATGGTAAGGTTTCACAGCGATTTGATGGTTTTCGGAACAACTCTGGACATGTTCGAGGACGAACGTATGTTTAAGTGGGGGAGGATGTAACGATCCGACCGGTCGTTTTGAGCTTTTGCACTTTGCTCCCTAGTTCTCGAGCATGACTAGCCCTGTGTGATATATTATGACTTATGTAAATCGTTGGTTTTGGTTTTCAGGGCAATCAAGATGAATTTGGAAGAGCAGTTCTCAGTTTGCTTAAAATTTGAAAGGTATGACCAAGTTTTGACTTGTTAGTATATGATCTCAGATTTGAATTTTTATGATTTGGTTAGCTCCGTTAGGTGATTTGGGACTTGGGTGCGTGATCGGAATGTATTTTGGAGGTCCGTGGAAGGTTAAGGCTTGAATTGGCAAAAATTGGAATTTTGGCGTTTTCCGGTTGATAGGTGAGATTTTGGTATAGGGGTCGGAATGAAATTCTGGAAGTTGGAGTAGGTCCGTTGTGTCATTTGTGACGTATGTGAAAAATTTCAGGTCATTCGGACGAGGTTTGATAGAAATTTTGATCGAAAGCAAAATTGGAAATTTTTGGAATTCTTAGGCTTGAATTAGATGATGATTTGATGTTTTGATGTTGTTTTGGGTGTTCCAAAGTTTGGAATATATTTGAATGGTGATATGTGACTTGTCCGTATTTTTGGTTGAGGTCTCGGGGGCCTCAGAATGATTTCGGATAGTTTTCGGGAAGGTTGAACTTGAGAAATTGCAGCTGATGTTGCCGCTTCTGTCATATCCGCACCTGCGGATTGGAGACCGCAGGTGCGAGCTCCGTAGGAGCGGAAGAAAGGCGCAGGTGCGAGGAGGACCGCAGGTGCGGCTTGGTAAGCGCACCTGCGTTACCGCAGGAGCAGTGAGGCAACCGCAGATGCGAGGCCTGGTGAGATAAGTGAAATCCGCAAAAGCGGAAGCGCAGGTGCGCTTATGGGATCACAGGTGCGAAAGGGCTGGGCAGAATGTATAAAAAGGCCCCTTCGTGATTTTCAGTCATTTGTTCATCATTTTTGTGCGAATTTGGAGCTCCAAGCTGTGATTTCAAGAGGGAATCAAGTGTTGATAGAGAGGTAAGCTACTTGGGCTTTGTATCTTGTGCTTATGGTGATTATTTCATTGTTTAATCAGGAAATTTGTGGGAAAAATTAGAGAAAGAGTTGGGAAAATTAGGGCTTGAAATGGGAGAGTTAAATTGGGGATTTTAGGGGCCATTTGAGGTCCGATTTTGATGATCTTGATATGTATGGACTCGTGGGAGGATGGAGATTCTATTGATGTGATTTTTATCAGATTCCGAGACGTGGTCCCGGGGGTCGGGTAGGACCAAATTCGGGGATTATGACTTTGTCCGTCCCGTACGATTGTTAAGTCGCGTATTTGATTTGAAATATATTCCATATTTTAGAGATTGATATTATATTTCGGGCTATATGCCATGTTTGGGGCCTTGTGCCAACCTGTTGAGACCCTTAGGGGCATTTTCACTATTTTTCCTCACTCTATTTGTTTTGAAAGCATACCCTCAGTCATGTTTTACTTGTTTATTGTTTAAATCTGGTTTTATCACTTTACTTCTTAAAATGTGAAANGAATCCAATTGGGCTCCTTTTGACACACCCCCTTTTGGACCCTTTTTAAGGTCATTTTGAGCCCTATTGGTGGACTTCAAGGGCTGATTTGGTAACCCTATCTTCCTCCTTTTGGACTTCAATTTGGACTATCAAATAATTATAAAACTTGGACAATTCATCTCCTTTGGGCTTGAGCTCTTCCTCTACAATTAAAAGCTTCTTTATTTGCTATTGAAGTCTAGCAACNTTTGCAACTCTTTAGCTTGAGATCTTGTATATGGCCTTGGATCTTCCAAAACTCTATCCTTGTCCTTGATGCTATCACCTAGCCAATTCACATCCTTTATCCTTGAGCTCTTCCTCCCAATTAATAACTTCTTCATTTGTACTTGAAGTCTAATGATCTTGTTTTGTAATTCTTTAGTTTGACATCTTATTAAAGGAAATCTTTGAGATTCAAAAGCTTCATCCCTGTCCTTGAATAGAGTTGAGCTTCCTAGGATGCTATCATTCCTCTCTTCTTGAAGAAAATTCGTCCTCGAATTTTGACCTTGCAAGAAAAAGAAAACACGCACTAGTAAATGGTATCCACTAATCTGAAAAAATAGTAGGAATAAAATAAGATAGTGACAATGTGTCCATTTAATCCAATCAATCCTAATAGGTATAAATACTCCCTTATAAAGAATATGAACATCATCATCCCAATAAAATTTATGTCTACATAGATTAATACAATAAAAACCTCTCTTAGATGCACCATGCAATGGAACTTGCAATTCGATCTTGTCGGTACGACAGTCCATGAGTATACGTGACAAAGAAATTATAAAAGAGTGACTACACATCCATTTAATATAAGTACCTTTACCACATTTATCAAACAAGATACATTCATGATATAGACTACTAACTACAATTACACATCTCGTGGATTCCTCTACATGAAAGAGTATTTGATCACCAGTATTACAACAATCATGCATATCCTCTTTACTAGAAACAAATACTTTTACAAGCTTACAATGAACATGACTTGAAGAATGACTCCCCATAACATAACAAAGATCACATTCTAGCACTTTAGCACATGAAAACTCCTTAGCCACTTGAATAAGATAAGAAGAAATATTTAACTCATTCGCAAGCCTCTTCTCAGAAATTCCATGCCTCTTTCCACCAAGTTGGAATAAGTAATCATCTATGTCATACACAATTTCAAAAGGAAGCGAATTACTCTTACACATTAACTTAGATATTATAGTTAATGACTTGATGTGCATCAAAATATCATCATCTACAAAAATTATAAAGTCACCAATATAAGAAATAAGAGTGTAATTCATTACCTCCAAAAATACCTTAGGTGTTCTAGAAAGACCAAGAATGCAAATAAACCAATTATACATACCATACTTGGACTTATTTACCAATGGAACATCATCACCTTGTATTCTTTTATGCAATGGCTCCACCTTAGCAATGCTTTTAGGCAACTCCATGTCATAACCCTGTAAATAAGAATCGAAATAGTCAAAAGGTTTAATAACAAAGAATTTAATCAAGCTTTTGTCTTCCACCATCCAACAAGAATTGATATTGCCGAATTTATGTTGGAATCCAATTGGATCTTTTGCCACCATCTTTTGCGCCTCACCACTCCTTTCAAAAGGTATTTCATCACGTGGCTGCACAAAATCACAAGAACTAAAACAAGAAAGAGTTAATGGGTTAGGAGGTAAAGAAACTTTTTTCTTGCTTACACTCTCTTTGGCTTTTATCGCAAGACTAATGTTTTCCTCACCCTTAGCCTCTTTTCTCTCACTAAAGAGTTCTTTTCCTTCACTCAATCTCTCTTGTTTTTCTCTCTATACCTCACAGACTTTGTTTCTCTTATTGCTTTATCTCTTTTATTTTTTCTCAAGATCATTGTTTACCTCACTTAACATCCCACTCTTTCTACTCAAGACAACCTCCCCTTTTTCCTCTCTTGGAATGTCAACATGCACTCCCTTACTGTCACGACCCAATTCCCGAACCTGGTCGTGATGGGGCCTCTCATGAAGACAAGGCCAGCCATTTAACCTAATTCATCTTTTTAAGATAATTAATTAACACAATTATAGTATAAACATGGTTTAATAATATCCAATAGCGGAAAGTATAGATAAAATACGGAAATCCAACCCAACTCAGCCCTAACCGGGGTGTCACAAGTCATGAACTACTACAGAGTTTACTAAAATTCTACAAGGTATGGAATTAGAAACGACATCTGAAGATATCATAAATACAGAAGATAAGGGAGAAAACGGGTCTGCGAACGCCATGCAGCTACCTCGATAACTCCGATGAAAACTGAACAGCAGAAAACTCGCTTTATGCCTCAGGAATACCTGTACCTGCACACATGGTGCAGGGAGTAATGTGAGTACTCCGACCCAGTGAGTAATAATTATAAATAATAACTGAGGGTAAGAAAACACGTTAAGGCACACAACACTCTATACAGAAGCAGTAAAATCATTTAAAATAACAATTCAGTGAAACATCATGTGAAATTTCTTTAAAACCAGTAAAACAGGTAATTTGGCAGTAAAATGACGAGTAGAAATCTACCTCTTGGGCTCAATATAAAAACAATATCAGCTCCTCGGGCTCAGTATCTCAGAACAGTATCAGCCCCTCGGGCTCAGTATCTCAGAAAAGTATCAGCCCCTCGGGCTTAGTATCTCAGAACAGTATCAGCCCCTCAGGCTCAGAACAGTATGAAGCAACCAGTCAATGAAATAAGAGCACATAATTATTATGGCGGATAATGCAGATGAGGAATAAATGCATGAGTGCAATGCAATGCATATGACGGTACCCTCTGGTACCCACTGCGGCGTGCAGCCCGAGCCATCCATATTTATTTATCGTCGACGG